AGTCTAATGTTTTCATGACCTAGCGAAAATCTTCACCGTCATCAGAGTATCTAATATTGTTATGTTTGTTATGTGTATACAAGGCTTCCATTTTAAACCAGTTTGACCTTTCTATTATTTGTTCCTCAGCTGGTTTAAACCACTTTGACCTGTCTACTATTTGTTCCTCAGCCGGTTTAAACCAGTTTGACCTGCTAATTATTTGTTCCTCAGCCGGTTCCCCTGGTTATGGCAGTGATTACGAGGAAGAGGCTCGATTCACTCCGAATGGTCCGGTGGCTAGTTCTCAGCCTCCTTACAACTCACCCGAGAATGAGCTCTTGAAGCAGCAGTTGATTGATCATCATCGTGACAGTCCCAGACCTCCTTTCACTCAGTCGCAGATGGTACAAGGTACGAGAGTAATGTGTCCGCATAGTTACCAGATTGTACACCCGCTCTGTCATACAGTCTTTCAATCTTTATTTCCGTTCCTCAATTTACATTTTTACAGTTAGACTAACCCGCGGATAGCTTGTAGTAGTCCAGGCGGGCAAGTCTATGATCTAAATACAAACAACGTACAACACGTAAACTGCTGTAGACACTGATATGCTTAGAGTCTAAGTCAACGAAGTTTGAGGTCCAGACGAGAGACAAATTTAATTCCTATGTCACGTATAACACTATTTTTATCATAATGACTAAAAAGTTTTATCAATTTAAAGTTTTTATCAGTTATAAAATTTTAAAAGATAACTTGTATTTGAACAAATCTATTCCAAACTGATTCAAATCTTAAGTGAAAATGGAATGTTAACTTTATAAACCCTACATTGATGTTTTTAAACTGCCCAAATCTTCATCACGATATATATTTCATTCCACGCATATCAAACAAAGTTCATTTTATAATAATCCGCTCTTATCGATTGCAATTTTCAAACCACAACCTAAAATCTAACAAATGTAATTACCAAAATTCAGAAACATTTTACTTAAATTTTACTTCATCGTTATGAGAATTCTTTTAAACTCTCGCTAAACTCAAGAATGACTTGTTCAACCAAGGCTTTCTGAGTGTTGCTTTTCAAGATGGCGTCTGGTCGCCTACGGCAACGCTCAAAAGGCTCTGGTGACGAAGTTCTTTCTGCGCATGTTCTAATCCTGCTATAAACTTCACTTGAAGCGTACACTGTCAAGCAATACCACACGTCACCAACTCATCAGCCCCAGTCTCCTCAGCATGCAGCTTACCCCCATTACGCCGCTGACCCCAACAGAATGCCGCCTCAACAGACTAGACCAATGCCTCCTCACCAACATGGAACTGGTCGCTTTCATGACGATCGCATGTCCCCGAGTATGCATGGTTACACATCCCCTGGATCGTATTCCCCTGGTAGAATGTCCCCTAGCGGAGGCCCCGGGGCTAAAAAGTCCCGGTTATTGCCTCAACTACCTCCAGGACGTGAACCGATGGGTAAGACCACGTGACTGACTACTAATAACAACATATATCACCGCATTTTCCACATTTCACTACGTATTTAATTGTACTTTAAAAATAAGCGACTTTAACTAACTTAAACTCAGTCGTGTGCAGGATTATAGAACCTTTCTTCAAACGTGGCACGTTTTCTTGAGATTTATCGTTCAACACGTGATGGTTTTGCCGTTTTTTGACGGTGATGGTTTTGCCTGATTTGTCTCTATGCCCGAGAGTTTTGTGTTAAAAACGGCTAGGAATTTATGTACGTTTTATAACAACGCTTTTACTTTTCGATGACACTCAATTCAAAGCCGCGCGTTTTCATAGCTTTGTCATTGGTTGAAAAGGTCATGTGACATGCCTTCACCAATCAGAGCAATGCGCTATTTTTTTCCAGCAAGCAGGAGCAAATCTGCGCTTTCCGTGGCTCGTGATTCTGCCCTATTTCGCACTAAGGAGCGATTCACAGAGGACATGGGGTTTGGAGAACTGAAACTCAGGTTTTTTTTTTGTCTATTTAAATTAAGTGGTATTGGAAGACTAAGAGAATGTGTCACGTTTAAGAATGCTAGCAGCAATTTTAAAAAGGTTCATGGCAAACGATGCTAATATTACACTGACAGCTATAGTTTATTAACTATAAATACTGATAAACATGAATTTCGACTCAGAATGGAATGATAACCACCTCTACAACTCTACGACTCGCAGCACTGGCTATAGGCTTATAGAACTAAAACGAAGACTGTTTACAGAACATCGGCGATAATCCTTCTACTGCTCCGTATCTAAACTACAGTAACCTAAAACCTAAAATTAAACAATCTTAACCACAGACGAAGAAGAACGAGCCCGAGCCGTTAAACAGAAGATAAAGGACATCGATCCTGCAAGAGCTAAACTGGTAGTCGGCGGCGCTAAAGGGAGGATGGGATATGGCCAGGCCCCAGACTCCGTGTTTACACAAAACGGTGGGATGTATGACCCAAGCATGTCCCCGAGACCTGGGCGCCAGTCACCGAGGCCCACGGCAAGAACGGGGAGTCCGTCGCCCTTACCAGGGCCAAAACATTCTCTGGGGATGCCCCCACACCATCAGGGGTTGCATGCTCCTCAAGGTAACAGCCGATGATATAGAGCTAAATTCTCACAGTTGTCATTTATAGAGGTGTATCTGAATTAGTAAGGAGAATCAATTAGGACTAAATTAGGGTGACTTAATATTATAACTGTATAAACGGTAAGGTTTTCAGTTAAATGTTTGTGTCGCACGATCTAATCTCTAATCTCTAAAAGGCTCAATAGAACTGCTACAAAAGGACTTAAAATTAAATTTACAATTAATTAATTTCATAGGCTTTACAAACTACTTTTATTTTCAAGGTAAACAACTGTCCTTTTTCCACAAGATACTAATAACTACTTTAAGAATTAGGATAGGTAATCGTATGAATGCGAGTGCAATCAAGGATATGCTAGCTTGCGATATTTGACAATTCTCTTTCACGAGCCTCAAGTCGAGTGTATTTTGAAAGAATTGTATGTGTAAATCCTTAACTGCTCAAGCTTTCATCGAACTACTTTTTACATGACTGAGAGAATTACGAACGCGTCTGAGTTCATTTGCAATGCACTGCAAATTAAAAAATATATATTATTGGTCTGCTTTCAGCCAATCACACTGAAGTAATTTTCTCAATTATGAGATAAAAATAGTTAATTAAAGATATTACTAAGAATAATAACACCACCTGGTGATGGCAAGCGTAACTGAGGTCTTAAGTTTTCACTCATACTTTATCACCGTCATGTTTTCAGTGTTCACTACATGAAGCAAAGTCCTGTTTTCTAATGACACCGCTGAGCGCTGGTCCATAAGTCTAACACTGCTATGTTACTATTGTAGAGCGCATGTATTCACCTGAAATGACCTCACACGAGCAAGGAGTGCCATATGAAAGCCACAGAAAAACCCGTGAGTTCACTCACATATCACTCAAACATTAACAAGCCCGCCTGCTACAGCTGTAATGTCAAAAAATAACTTGATAGCAAATGCAGAGTAATCGTTTCTTAACCTTGATTAATGTAATAAATGACCCAAATGACAAGATGATCGCGTTAATAATGACGCTAAAAAAATTAATCGTAAATATTGAAGAAATAATGCATCGGGTTATTCTGAAAAAAAAAAAATTGTTTAATACAATAACTGAGGGTGCTGCATGCCATCTGAAACTGCATAGAAATTGTTTTTCTCCATTTGAAAAACAACGCAGGAATACTCACTGTCATTTCACTTGGTTTAAATAGCTGATAAACCATCGAATTGCGCGTCATTTTTCTAAATAGAATATAACTGAAAATTAAAAAGTAATTCTTTAGACAAATTCCTTGATCAAGCGAGGCGGCTGCAGAATATCAAAGAAATCTAACGAGCCATCTTGATAACGTTACAATCCACTCTGTAGTCCATTTCCATCCAAGCCATCGATCGTCATTCTCACCTGCAAATGGGTTTTTTTCATTTCTCAAGTTCTGCTGTACAAAATGATAGCATTATTTTAAGTTGTCATGTGATTTATATAAGTATTATTTTCTGCGCTGCATTCTTTGAGATAAGGTCAAACTCGAGTGTACTTTTAAAACGGTTCACTCTCAAATATGTGACTTATATCTCTGTTTAAACATGTTTGCGTTTGTTGTTGTCTTTTTTTAGAAGACGGACGTATTCGACGCCGCAACAGCTTAAGCAGTTTACCGATGAATGATTCTGAAAGCGAGCGGCCGCGGAGTCCTTTCCCGATACCGAGTCCAGTCCCTCTCGGCCATGGCAGGAGTCAGAGCAGCTCAAGCTTGCACGAAAGGGACCGTGGACTTCCTAACGGTGAGTTGGCGATGAGATGCAAATTTCATATTACTGCAATCAACGTGGTTACTGTTTCGTACAAAGTAGAGAATGGGGAGTTCGCTGTCGACGTGAGTTTTCGTGACCTTATCCGGAGAAGCTAGTCTAAAGGGTGGGAAAAGATGAGACCTCTAGAAGGCGGGAAAACGAAGCTGTTTTAAAGGCGGAAAAATACGTCGCATGTTCTAAAAGGCGGGAAAACGAACCTTTCGCAAAGGCGGGAAGACATGAACGAACCTTCCGCCAAGGCGCGAAAGCATGTCGCTTGCACTAAAAGGCGAGGAAGCAAACCTGACTCTAAGGCAGGAAAACATGTCGCATGTTGTAAAAGGCGAGAAAACCAACCTGTCGCTAAGACGGGAAAACATGTCGCGTGCGCTGAAAGGCGGGAAAACGAGCCTGTCGCTAAGGCGGGATAACATGGGACCTGCTCTAAATGGCGGGAAAATGAACCGAATGTTTCGCAAAAACAGAAATTGGAAAGAGACTCTGTTCAGTGAAAGGCAATCTCTGTCGAAGTTAATTCATGAAGTGATCTCTTAGTTTAAATGTAAACTAAATGACCTTATTCTGTACAGAAACACTACTCACTGTAAATTCTTTTGCTTTATTTGCTAACACTAACCGATCTTGCCGAATGGTGAAGGTGAGTTAAATCTTTCATTCTTTGTAACCACTATATTCCGGTCTAATCTTGACTGCAAAACATTTCGTTTTTCACTCTTGGAGAATTTAGCGAGTAGCGAAAAATACTGAAGTGAAAAATTGTCGCGTGGATACTGCAGGAAAGGAGGGATAACGTTTGTAAAGCGTTTTTTCTTCCCGTTGCCCTTCTAGTTTTCGCGCCTCCGAAAGTTTTCTTATCGTATTTTTCGCTTCTTGTTTGACGAACCTTGGGAGTATAATGATTGTTTTCGGTCTGGTGTTACTTTAATGCTGCACATCTTTAAAGAATTCTCTTGTAAAGGTACTCCTCTGATTTCCTGCTAACCTTCCTCTTCTTCTACATCACTGTTCCACGGGTTGTAAGTAAGTCTTGGGGTTATTAATCTCCTCAGTAGCCGTTCTTTACGTCTTTGCGTCTTAAGGGTTAAGTAGTGAGTTGTACTTTTTTTCTTCGTTCTTCCAACAAACAATTCCAATCAATATTTCCATTGTTGTGGTCTTTGTGTGAGAAGCCCGCTTGACATTCTGTCGGAGAGTCGGGGCGGGGAGGATGCGCTTAGTAGCTACTGACGTAGTACTTTGGCTTGTGGTTTTACCATCTTGCTGCTCAATCAGCTGAAACAGGCCATCAGTTGAGTTCAACTTTTACGTAGCCAACCATGTAGATAACACGGCGAAGACTTTAAGAAACCAGTCTTGCAATGCCGTGGTTTGCTAACTTCCTTCGGACTCGTCACAAAGTGTTTCTTTGTTGGAAAGGGAAGATTGCGTGACACGCCGAAAAGGACTTCTATATAGGAAACTCTTGCGTTACTGCATTCGCCTTTCGAGACGTTTAGCATTCTTTTAAGAGTATTTTACTCACAAATGGGGTAGTTTAAAGCCTTTGCCACTTATTAGATTATTAGAAGGCGTTATATAAATACTTGTATACTGACGATTTTGCTCCCCACACCTCTCCTCCACAGGGAAGCTGCTGGCTCGTGACGAGGCTCGTTCCGGCAGTCTTAATAATCTTCATGTCTTCCCTACAGGCGGCTACATCAAGCCTTCCCGTGGGACTGGTCGCAGCGAGAGCTTTGGAGGCAGTGGACGGAGCAGTCGGTCGTCGTCCATAGCAAGTGACAGGAGCGGCAGCTTAAACAGCATACCAGGCTCGGTTACTAGTGTCGAGAGCAGGTAAGTACCGATAACTCATATTATCATTCAATGAAACTTTTTCTTTCTTTTCATTGGCTGAGAGCCCACCATGTGACCTGCAAATAGCTGCCTACAAATGAGGGCCTGCTCATGCGTAGTACCGTCTAAATGTGTTTTGCTGCAAATATTCTGCTCGTGCGTAAATGTAACCACGCTCTTGTGTGAAAAATAGCGGATCGCTTCAGTGAGCTGTCAGAGAGTGATTTAATTATGAAACCGAACTTGGTGATCGAATGATAAAACAACTATTGAACTCGGTTATCGCAAAATATTGTATTTTCTCAGTGTCTCACAGATCACCAATGACAATTCTCACCAATTATCTGACTTCTGTCGTGTCGAACTCGTGGTGAAGTCCAGGAATGAGTACCAATTTGGTAAATGAGCGTTTGGAAAGTTGCTGTATAGCAAATTACAAAACCTAGCTCAATACTGTGTGATATTAAAGTGGCAGCCGGTCTTTTCTCTTAGGGTCAGATGCAAAGGGGCGGAATAAATGAGAAGTGAGTGCCGCGCCCATGTCTCGTCCCAATCCCCTGTAGTCTGAAACGTCTTACCTCACACCTCCCCCCCCCCCCTGCTTGATTTTGAGAGAAAAACGTACTACTGGCAGTCCTGAAAAAGTTTTCTTTCTTCGTCAAAAATATAACATCCTTTTCCAGAAGTGTCTAGGCCCATGGTTTTTGGCGGGTTGTTGCTAAGTAACATGAAGTATTGAGATAATGACAAACCGTCATAAAACGTTTTGAGTGTTCAGGTACTACGCCGCAGGGTATGAAATATGTGCACTTCTTATTCTGCTGTGGGAAAAAAAAAATTCAGTATAAGCTTCCGTGTCTTGTTAAAAACTCGAAAAACACTTTACCACTGAATTATTTAACCAAAGGTGGAAATTATACTTCGTGGAGCATTGAACTCGTTGATCTGAATCGCAGGATTAGATTGGAATAACAAAATCAATTGCCGAGTGTAAGTGATTTTCAATTAACCATGAATAATTGATGCGAAAACAGAGCACGTAGGCTTTGCTCAGCAGGAATTGAAGGCAACTTTTGGTTTTGATGCCATGAACATACGAACCACGAGAAGTTATTTTGCTCTTGTGGCAAAGAAGTGTTTTTCTATTGTTGTACAAGATGCTATAGAACCTCAGTAGTCATACAAAACATGGTAATCGGCCCGCCTTTATTAGCAAAGGATCTACCTATGATTAAAAAAAAATGCCTGCTTGAAAAATAATCGAGTCACCACTTCAGTTTCAAAACTTAGTCTCCTAAACTAAAAGAAACCAGCCTAGAAACTGCAGTCTTTATCTCAGACCATTTTAATCTTTTGACCGGATTCAGTTGTGTTTTAAGTAATTAGCAAACAGGTTTTCCGGCGTATTACCGAGTAAAGAGTAATGTAATATTTGTTTATGGTTGCAGGATCCAATTGTACAAAAAAATTTGACTGTTTATGTATTTGTCAAAAACTTAAAACATACAGAAGAGCTAAGTAGTAGTCGGATATTTCGTAAATGGTGTGCCAAATAGAAAAATCAATTAAAACTGAGGAATTTTTAATTGCTTTCTACCACGATGTAACCCCGGAGTTGTTTTTATTATTGGACGAAAGTGCTAGATGATACAGTAAAATGTCTAAAGCCGAGTGAGACTTGTAAAATATACAACCTGCTGTTGGGTAAACTAAATAACAGTAGTAAAAGCTAAATTTTAGTGAGAACGTCAAATTTATTCTTGTCAACTTTAAACGTAAAATTGGCTCTTCGACGGGTTGCGTTGTGAATTTTAAAGTAAATTGGCTTGTAACGAGCTCGTTAAATTCTGTGTGCATAGATTTTATTGGTGTTTTCTTTAAGCGAAAGATTCCATCGAAAACAAGCTTGTGTGTAGATAATAAGTTGACGGATCGACAAGAAAAGTTCGAAATACCAGCAGGACACTGCGATTGCCTTAGTTACTGGGCCCTAAATTGAAATATTCAAATCATTCGTTGCTGCTCTAGTTATGGTTTGTTTTAATAGCCAGCTGTTTTATTTCTGAACTGATCAATACACCGGCCGGTTGCACCAGGCGCCTGTTCGTAATATTACACTTGAGATCACTGACTTCTCTTGCTTGGAGGGCTAGTTCAACCCGGCGCTCTTATGTCGAGGATCGAACAAGTTGTCCGGAGTGTAACCACTCACTTGTTCGCTCCTGTCAGGTACGACACCATACTTTATGACCTTTTTGATACACTTATTGGGCATTGTACCTGATTTCCCTTTTGAAAATTCACATATCTAAGATCGCTTTGGCCATTTTTAGATTTTGAACAATGTAGAGAATAATTTTTAAAGTTATTCAGTAGCGAGCATAGATTATACACCTCAGATGAGGCCATGTTTCATTGTTTTCTTTTCTGCGGCTATCGAGGTTAGGATAAGTACGTTTATTTGCTTGAACACGCATGATGTGACTTTTGTACAAGATTTAAGTAAACACCACAAAAGTGTCGGAGAATCGTGTTAGCAAGATTAGACGTCTAGCATCTGGGCAAAGAATGTCACATGCGGAAAATAAATCTTGCATTTAAAGAATCGAAAAAAAAATCTGGCGCTGCCCTAGCTGGTGTGGTTATTATTGTGAGTTTATGTGCTTCGCTCTCTTTTGTTTTTGTTTTTGTTTTTTTCACTATTCTAACGGCAGCAGCAACGACAATTTGTCAGTAAGCTACCCTAACAGGACCGACAACTGGCACTGATTCAACCCCCAGAATTTTATGATCTCGATAGTAATGTAGCAATGATTGAAGCATTTTTTCCCCGTATGAATAATTAACGCTTTTTTTTCGCGAATAGTCATATGTACATAAATTATTTTTTCTACTGATATGTTTAGAAATTCTCGCCTTCGAATGCATTCAACAACTGAGCTCGTTAACAGCTAGATGGACAATTCATTTGTCTAACATGACGTTGTCACCGCACTTGGTTGTTATTGTAACAAAGATGCATTTAACATGAGCTGTATTAGCAAGTGGTCAACACCGCTTCACATCAGTCGGTCTGTGCGTATTGTGTAAGAATTTCGCACATGAAATGTCGAGTTTCTTTGATGTAGTGGGGCAAGTTGTTAGAGCTAAAAGGAGGTGAGAAGGAATTCAATAATAACCTCTTAAGCTTTAAATCGGTTACAGTATTTATTTTTGTCATATTCCTTGTCTTAATATTTATAGTGAACGTCACACACGCATCGCTAAGGCTACTTTCACGGTTTGTTAAAACGTCCGACGAAAAAAAAAATCCGGACTCCACTTCACTGATATCAGCCAGAACTAGTTAAGTTGTTTCGGAGGTTATATCTCGACCAGCGAGCTCAAAATAGCCTTCTCCTTGCTAGAAACGTCTTCTATGTTGTTGTGCAGGAAGCTTATGCTCACATGAGGGAATTTGCAGAGAAACACACGTTAACGACGCCATTTGCGCAGATTAGTTCGTTATTCTTTAGCAGTTTGAGCGGAATGTCGAAAATTCGTCCACAGACGTGATACCGAATGTTTCATCTCAAGACTTCTTTGAGTTTAAATGCAGTGTTCGTTTATTCATGCCGGACAACAATTCAAGAATTGAAAACGAGTTTTTCTCTCGGGGAACCTTTCAGTTCGTTGTTGTCTTTGTCATTGTTTAGGCCATACTCCGACCAGCAGCTCATCTGTGGACCCGTTGCGAACCGTTTTACCGACTGAATTCCTGGTTTAAAAAGGGTTTGTTGGCGGCTTGGGTTTAACGTTGGCGTGAGCATAACAGGACATTTTTGACATCATCTAATAGCCTGTTAGTGTTAACAAATTGCTACAGTAGTTTAACTGTACCGGTAAGTTCAGCCAAACTGGATAAGGGCAGAGAAGATTGTAACGGGGAAACCAGGTTTCACACAAAATAGGAAATTTGTATTTTCTCTGTGTGTTATTTTTTAAAGTGTAATTTGCAAGGAAGTAATGTGATTTTAAACTACCAAGAACCACTGTCGATTTATTTACAAATGCATGAATTAATCACTGTTTGCTTTTTCCGAAATGTCTTATTGATCCAGACAAATTATACGCGTCAAAGTTTTTAAGCTCGTAGGTTGTTTTAGTGAAGAAAGACCATTCTGTAAAATCTACAGGACTGGTGTTTTACCGCTGAAATAGCGCCGTTTGCTCGTCAAGTGTTGAATAGAAATACAACTGAAGTCTGTATCCCAGCAACTGAAAAACAGATACAAAATGTCAGGTTTACTTAGCTCGTAATACTGCCCTTTTAACATGCAATATCGATTGATATTATTTTACAGGGAATAGCATCCCGCGGCAGTATTTCTCGTGTTTACACGGAGGAAACTTGGAAATTTTAGTTTTGTTCAAAATGTCCCCGACCAAGAATGAGTGATGTGTCTCAGTTTTAAATTTATTGCTTTCTCTGGAGCTAGACCGAAGTGTCACCCAGTGCGGGGCACGAATCAGTTGTTAATATTATGTTTTAATTAGTTTAGGCGGGTTTTCCCAGCGCTCGCAGGTGTGCACTGACCTCGTTTCCAGTAACTCTCTTCCCGCTCTGCCTCGCTTTAGGAAACGAACCCTGGGAACGAATTTGGGAGCGCGCGTGCTTCAGAGTTCTTTGGTTTTGAAATTCACTATTTTGGTATTTTTTTGTGGAGTCGTCTTTTCGGCGAGATTTTGGGAGGTGAAGAACTGGGAGTTCAAAAACAAGTTTTTTTTTGCCTTGTGCTATTTGACAAAGGGTACTTCTGTGTTTCAAAAAGTGTTTTGAGGGAATTATTTTTGTGAGGGATGATTCTGTGACCTTTGTTTGGTCATCCCATAGTCAGTAGAGGGAAATGGTTATGAAACCTGGCAAAGTTCTTTGTTGTATGTTTTTGTTGGCTATTTTGGGTTTGAAACTGCACAAAACGTGGTAAAATACAAAAAGGTGGTTATGTGTGCTGAAACAGCTAACCAATAGAAGCTTTGCGACTTTGTAATTCTTGCATTTGATAGTCAGTGAGTACAAAACAAAAGATGTGCAGGGTCAAGGACCTTCAGACATAAATCTTAGCCTGTTTGTTTGCTTCTTTGATGTTTACCGGGCTTCTTAACTATTTCTCTCTATCAGCTATTGTCATCCTTGTCTCTGTGTGTCTTAAGGGCCTCCTTACACTTAAGTGAAGCTTACCTGATCTCTGTTTGTCTCCCCAGTCCTTGGATGCCTCCAGGAATAAAACTTGGAAACGAGGGTCACCTGGGTGATTTTATCGATGGCCTGGGTCCGGCTCAGATTGTAGGACGGCAAGTCCTCGCCTCACCCTCCATGGGGGACATTCAACTAGCGCTGTATAACAGAAAAGGAATGTTAGAAGTGGAGGTTATACGAGCCAAGGGTTTGTTACCAAAACCTGGCTCAAAAATTCTACCAGGTAAGCTAAGCATGGCTAAATGGTTTATTTAATTGAATATATAATGCACGAGTGCGCCCGCGTGGAATTCGCGCGTATCTTGCGCATCTTATAAAACATGCCTCTTCGAACGAGCGCTTTATGTCAGCTCTCCGCGGACCAGTATTTTTATGGTGGATTTAAAGAGGTTCACATTATGATCTATACTTTTACAACGGTTTCTGTTAGCTGTAGATGTAAATTCCCGAAATGTAGGCAGCGTGACCGTGGCTTAGGGCGCTGGATTGTTTTTAGCAGTGGATGTATGTGCGCGAAATGTAGTCAGCGTAGCCAGGTGGTTCAGGACCTTGTTCTTGTAATCCCATGGTCCTGAATTTAAGCTAACCATCTTGTTGCTGGCCGAGCTCGTTCGTCGTAGGGTAACTTGTCGAAACTTTAACCCCTGTTATCTGTTAACTGGACTGCTTTATTGACTGCTATTTAGAATTTGATGCTAGCTAAAAAATAATTCTGCTCAGAATCTACAAATTGCTTTTCCCACACGTCTACCACAACAATATGTCAAGCATTCAACAGTGGACTCCTTTGATGGCGAGGCATGAAGCCCCATCTTCTTCCCAGCATCTTTTATCTACTATGTCGTACCCCTAATGTGCCACAAGCTTAATTATTTTAAATGTGCCATCTGTTTTTAGCGCCCTATGTAAAAGTGTATGTGATGGAAGGCAAGCGCTGCTTGGTAAAGAAGAAAACTCGAACGGCGAGAAGAACGTTAGAACCTTTATATCAGCAACAATTAGAGTTCAAGGTAGAATTCACTGGCAAGACACTTCAGGTAAATAGAGAATTTGCGTTGGCGCTTTTCCTCCCGGGGAAACGTGATCGAGTGATCAGGGCGCGGTTCTTTAGATCAGCTGGGCTGGAGTCCAAATTGTTCTCTCTGATGAGAAGCGAGAACCGTAACATGGCAATCCTGAGTTTAGCTTAGCTTATTTCTTTTGCTACCAACATTCACTTTGCAAGCTTCATCATCGCCATCATCATTTATATGCCACAAAGTATTGACGAGCAAGTTTGTTGCTACAAATTCTTCACCCCTGTCCATGAAGCCACTGGAGCAGANTTGAAACTGCACAAAACGTGGTAAAATACAAAAAGGTGGTTATGTGTGCTGAAACAGCTAACCAATAGAAGCTTTGCGACTTTGTAATTCTTGCATTTGATAGTCAGTGAGTACAAAACAAAAGATGTGCAGGGTCAAGGACCTTCAGACATAAATCTTAGCCTGTTTGTTTGCTTCTCTGATGTTTACCGGGCTTCTTAACTATTTCTCTCTATCAGCTATTGTCATCCTTGTCTCTGTGTGTCTTAAGGGCCTCCTTACACTTAAGTGAAGCTTACCTGATCTCTGTTTGTCTCCCCAGTCCTTGGATGCCTCCAGGAATAAAACTTGGAAACGAGGGTCACCTGGGTGATTTTATCGATGGCCTGGGTCCGGCCCAGATTGTAGGACGGCAAGTCCTCGCCTCACCCTCCATGGGGGACATTCAACTAGCGCTGTATAACAGAAAAGGAATGTTAGAAGTGGAGGTTATACGAGCCAAGGGTTTGTTACCAAAACCTGGCTCAAAAATTCTACCAGGTAAGCTAAGCATGGCTAAATGGTTTATTTAATTGAATATATAATGCACGAGTGCGCCCGCGTGGAATTCGCGCGTATCTTGCGCATCTTATAAAACATGCCTCTTCGAACGAGCGCTTTATGTCAGCTCTCCGCGGACCAGTATTTTTATGGTGGATTTAAAGAGGTTCACATTATGATCTATACTTTTACAACGGTTTCTGTTAGCTGTAGATGTAAATTCCCGAAATGTAGGCAGCGTGACCGTGGCTTAGGGCGCTGGATTGTTTTTAGCAGTGGATGTATGTGCGCGAAATGTAGTCAGCGTAGCCAGGTGGTTCAGGACCTTGTTCTTGTAATCCCATGGTCCTGAATTTAAGCTAACCATCTTGTTGCTGGCCGAGCTCGTTCGTCGTAGGGTAACTTGTCGAAACTTTAACCCCTGTTATCTGTTAACTGGACTGCTTTATTGACTGCTATTTAGAATTTGATGCTAGCTAAAAAATAATTCTGCTCAGAATCTACAAATTGCTTTTCCCACACGTCTACCACAACAATATGTCAAGCATTCAACAGTGGACTCCTTTGATGGCGAGGCATGAAGCCCCATCTTCTTCCCAGCATCTTTTATCTACTATGTCGTACCCCTAATGTGCCACAAGCTTAATTATTTTAAATGTGCCATCTGTTTTTAGCGCCCTATGTAAAAGTGTATGTGATGGAAGGCAAGCGCTGCTTGGTAAAGAAGAAAACTCGAACGGCGAGAAGAACGTTAGAACCTTTATATCAGCAACAATTAGAGTTCAAGGTAGAATTCACTGGCAAGACACTTCAGGTAAATAGAGAATTTGCGTTGGCGCTTTTCCTCCCGGGGAAACGTGATCGAGTGATCAGGGCGCGGTTCTTTAGATCAGCTGGGCTGGAGTCCAAATTGTTCTCTCTGATGAGAAGCGAGAACCGTAACATGGCAATCCTGAGTTTAGCTTAGCTTATTTCTTTTGCTACCAACATTCACTTTGCAAGCTTCATCATCGCCATCATCATTTATATGCCACAAAGTATTGACGAGCAAGTTTGTTGCTACAAATTCTTCACCCCTGTCCATGAAGCCACTGGAGCAGAAATGATCAACATTTGTGCCGACTGGTAGGTAGCACAGCTTTCTTCCCATGTTTCGTATTTGAAACAGCGGGAATCACGTCCACCTGGTTGCCAGCGTGAAGCCTTAGGGACCTGGAAAGGAGAACGATGCACCATACGAGAGAGGTCTGGGTACTAAGCAGTACGAGATAGGTTCAGAGATGCTAAACGTTCCAAGAACGCCTTTTTGCTTTACTAACACCTTTTATGTCTCTGTTGCAGGTGATTGTTTGGGGAGATTATGGACGTATGGACCGTAAAGTCTTCATGGGTGTTGTCCAAATTTTACTCGACGAGTTAGACCTTAGTAACCTAGTTATCGGTTGGTACAAACTGTTTTCTACTTCATCCATGTGCGACCCACCCCTCCCATCATCTTCCTCCCCTCTCGGTGGCTCACCGAAAAAATCCCCTGGACCCTCCCCACGGTCGTCAATGAATCAAGGCGTGGCCAGTCCAATGCGAGGGGCTTCACCTCTACCCACCATCATACCGCCACCAGGCCACATGCATAATATGGACGAGGAGGGGGACTATGTATGAGTTAGACAATTGTTATTACAAAACGCTCTGGATTCTGCCTGGAGTCTGCTCGAGAGGAATTCTGGGAATTCGACTTAAAAAATTGACACAATGGCAAGCTCGCTTGAACGAGGAGAGCTTATTAAAGAATATACGATAGAGAATGTTTTTGACTTCGGAAACGCTTCAGCTGAGAGACTGGATATTATCCATTTAAAACAGTGAAAGACTATGTTCTAGATTCTGCCGGACGACAGGATGCGCTCGGCCCAGGCTGCCAGCTGATTCATTATAATATGAACAACGCAATGATACGGACGAGGACTAGTTAATTAACGACTTTCTTAACTTGAAATTTAAGAGCAACTAAGAGAGGAAACATGGGGAACTAAATAACGTGATAAGCGACACGAACGTAAAATGGTTATTCTGAGATATCAAATCGCTCCATCGCTGAGTCTTGTTCCAGTAACTTTGGTAATATTAAGTCAAATTTATTTGAGAATTTAAGGAAAGGAGGCAGGTTCTTCTGGTCAGATATTAAGACGAATGAAAGCGTTATTGATTGATTGAACGCGAAGCATTGTTTAGTTGTGCTTTACTACTTTTTAAACACAGCGGGAACCGCGCTATGTAATTAGTCAGAAAGTGTAGGCCATTGGGTTAGTGTTGTTGATCAAGGTATCAATGATAAACTCGCGACTGCGCTGTTAGAAGCATAGATGACCTGAAGCTCTGTTTAGGTGACTATGATTTACAATCAAACTGAAGGAATACTCTTTTAGAAACCAATTCTGCAAGAGTTTAGCTGGTAGAGATACGTCCCTAAATAGACTGAGGTCTTCAAGTAATCAGTGGTAAGTCCATCGAAAATAAAAGAAAAATATATAAAATTGCGTCCCCAACCCCCACCCCAGCCCCATGAAGAAGACTTTGCGGCTAGGAAAACAGAACTTTACAATTTTAGTTAAAAAAAAAAAGAGAATTGGAATCATTTTATTTAAACAGCATTTGGCTATTATCGACCGATGTAAGGATACATAAGGAGATAAAAGGATGTAGATGTATTAAGATTAATTTAACTTATCTCAACACAAGCTTTTGTTGCTGGCAATTTCGACAAGAGTAAGTTTCTTTCCATTAAAGAGAGTGTCATATTTATTTATAAGGAAAGATTTATTTAGAAACTTAGAGAAAATACTATATAGGATTGCATTACTGTTGTGCAAATATTAAGTATTTATTGCTATTATTTAAATGTTGGGGAATTTAATTCTTTTCAAAGGAACTAGTATTTATGCTCTCTTTAAAGCTTTAAGTAGACCTTTCGCAAGAAGTGAAATAAATTTTAGAGGCCCTGACGAGCAATTTGTTTATACCTGGTTGTAGCGCTCGCCTCCCACCTATTTGGCACGGGTTCGATTCCGGCCCGGTGCCATATGTGGCCTGTGTTTGTTGTTGGTTCTCGCCTTGCTCCGAGGGTTTTTCTCCGTATTCTCCGGTTTTCCTTCCTCCACAAAAACCAACATCTCCAAATTCCAATTCGACCAGGATAGA